TGGTTTGTGAATCAGGCCCAATATTTTATATGGAAAGTAAGGAATACTTTATTGTGAAATGAGATTTATTTTTGTAATGTGAATGGTTTTGCAGCTTGTTGCGTTTCATATTGAGTAACGTCGTTTTATATAGGTCATTATGCAGTCTTTTACTGGTTTCTTCCTGTGACATTATGTACTTGTTTGCACTTTTTGCCAGCAATAAAAGTTGATAAAATGTTTCTCTTTGTGTTTTTTTTTTTCTTGATTTTAAATGGCAAATTGTTTGTGAATGTTGAGTGCCAAAAGGTATCAAGAAGCTACAGAGAGCAGTTACAGAACGATTATAGTGTAGCTGCTCAAGTTCCCAAAAACTGGGCTGGACCCGATCTGCAGCTCCACTCTGCTGCATGGGATCCGTATATTGATCCTGTACACATTTATTTATTTATTTCAGGTACTTACAGTCAGGTCCATAAATATTGGGACATCATTAGGCTGAAAAAACAAAAAACAAAACAAACCCATCAGAAAAGTCTTATCTGTTCAAAATTCTTTATAAAGTGTACTTTACAGGCATAATACTGTACAGGGACATGATAAAAAAAAAATTGTAAATGCATTGAAAACCAATTAATCCATTCCGGAGGTCAGAAAAAAGTACAAAAAGTCTTATCTGTTCAAAACTCTTTATAAAGTACACCTTAAAGGCATAAATACTGTACAGGTGGTATATAGAGCCAAAAATGTTAGAATTGTGTCCATGTCCCAATATTTATGGACCTGACTGTATATAGCGCCATCAATTTACACAGCGCTTTACATATAGTACATTCACATCAGTCCCTAACCCTCAAGGGGCGTACAATCTAAGGTCCCTAACTCACATTCATACATACACATACTAGGGACAATTTAGACAGGATCCAATTGGCAGACTGACCATTTGGAAACTCGGGCACTGCCCGAGGGCCCGGGGTCAGTAGGGGGCCCCATGAGATGCCCCTGGTACCTTCTTCATAGGCTTTTTTGAGTTTGGGCAAGGACACAGGGGCCCCATGATCCCCTATTGCCCGGGGGCCCCATGAGTTGTCAGTCCGCCCCTGGTACACATAGAACCCTTTGTTGAGTGTAGGCCATCAAAAGCCTCAATATGCAAAAGAACAATATGTGCAAAGCTGGCATGGACAGCATCCTACATGCTGTACTGTGAACCACTAGAACAAAGGTAAAAAAACAGGAATATAAAGAGTCACCCAATACAACCATGACACAACCAGGTCAGTTCATTGTACAGGCGTACCTCGGTTTACGAACACCTCGGTTAACGTAATTTTCGGTTTACGAATAAAAATCCATTGAAAATAATGGCTCGGTTTACAAATTTTTTTTTTTTACAATACGAAAAGATTTTGAATTGGTTTTCAATGCATTACAATTTTTTTTTATCATGTCCCTGTACAGTACTATGCCTTTAAGGTGTACTTTATAAAGAGTTTTGAACAGATAAAAGACTTTTCTGACTTTTTTCTTACCTCCGGAATGGATTAATTGGTTTTCAATGCATTTACGATTTTTTTTTTTATCATGTCCCTGTACAGTAGTTATGCCTTTAAAGTGCATTTTATAAAGAGTTTTGAACAGATAAGACTTTTTCTGACCTCCGGAATGGATTAATTGGTTTTCAGTGCATTTACAAATTAATTTTTAATCATGTCCCTGTACAGTATTAATGCCTTTAAAGTGCACTTTATAAAGAGTTTTGAACAGATAAAAGCCTTTTTTTTTTTACTTTTTTTCTACCTTCGGAACGGATTAATTGGTTTTCAATGCATTCCTATGGGAAACCGCATTTTGGTTTACAAATTTTTCACAATACGAAAAGTTCCGCAGAACGCATTAAATTCGTAAACCGAGGTAATCCTCTATGGATATGGACAACCAGGGGTGGACTGACAACTCATGGAGCCGCCGGGCAATAGGGGATCATGGGGCCCCTGTGTCCTTGCCCAAACTCAAAAAAGCCTATGAAAAAGGTACCAGAGGCATCTCATGGGGCCCCCTACTGACCCCAGGCCCTCGGGCAGTGCCCAAGTTTCCAAATGGACAGTCTCCCCTTGTGGACAACATCAACCATTTCTATAATGTAACAGAGTTTGTTGCAAAAAAGTGAAAGGTTCATAACCATCATTTGCAGTTAAAGAAAAAAAAAAACGAGTGGAATCTAACCCGTAATGAAAATATTTTTCCCGGGAGCACTGTCCCAAGCATTAAACTACGTGAAGTGTTTGCAAACCTCTAACATGAAATGTGGACAAAACATATCCCACTATAGTGTGTATCTGTCTCAATCCAGAGCACTAAGTGTCATTTCTGTCTGCTGCCTCGTTCCTCTGCCATCTGCAGTTCGACAAGTTTTTCGGATACCAAGAGGAAAAAAAAAAAGGTAACAGGGGAGGGAGCTCTGGCACACAGCCTGTGATTGCCGGCCTCAGTTCTGTTGCTGTGTGCTGTGTGAGGGGGTGTTATCTTCCCTTCAATCAGCTGTCAAGGTTTTCCTCACTGAGCTCTGAAGGGTGTAACCTCAGCTCCTCACCTCCATCTATCTGGAAGTTCAGACAAGCTGTATAAATTGTGGACTTTAGAGAAGAGCAGCGTGCAGATAAACAGGTACAACTTATGTAGGAGGATTTGTTTCATTTCTGTATATCACCTGAAGACAATCACTACACTAGGTATATGTAAGGGCTTACAACCACCTTAACCACTTGCCGTCTGGCCGCTGTATATAAACGGCCAGGCGGTGGCAGTGCAGGGGCGGGTTGCCGTTCATAAATGGCGCCGCTATTTTGTATTGTGCGTACTCCCTGGGAGTGCGCAGCACCACGATCCGGTGCCCGTTGTGTCCAGAGGACAGAACGGAACACCGATCGCTATATGGGACCTCTATGTGAGGTCCCGATCATGTGATCACTGATTGGCCATGCAGAGTAGTAAGCAAGATGTCACTTATGACATCATTGCTTACTATGTGTGAAATCTGTGAATGATCACAGAGGTCACATGGTACAAGGCTATTCACAACAGCCTTGTACCATGTGACAAGTTGTGACCTATCACAGCTCACACAGTATTTCTCAATGGCTGCAAGAATGCAGCCAGAGGGAAGGAGAAATTATTGCTTTTACAGCCTTTATGGGTGTAAAAGCAATCAGTGTAAAAAAAAAAAAGAAAAATCTTCATCATCCCCCCCACAAGTAGTACAGTGTCAACACGGTGATACTGTACTGCTGGGGAGACAGTATGTTAAAAAAAAAAAAAAAAAAAAAACATAAATAATAATATAAAAAAATAAAATAAAAATGTAAAAAAAAAAATTGTAATTATAATTTTTGGTTATAAACTAATTTGTGTTATTTTTTTTTACTAAAAAGATAACTGAATAAATTTTGGCCAAGATTTATGAAGAAAGATTATTTATTTGCAAACTTTTATAAGAAAAACATTTTTTTTCAAAATTTTTGGACTTTTTCATTTATATAGCAAAAAAATTTAAATCCCAGTGGTGAATAAATACCACCAAAATAAAGTTTTATCTGTCTAAAAAAAATGCTAAAAAATACATATGGGTACAGGGTTGCATGACCGCGCAATTGTCATTCAAAGTGCGACAGCACTGAAAGCTGAAAATTGGCCTGGACTGGAAGGGGGTAAAAGTGTCTGGACTTGAAGTGGTTAAAAAAATACTGTATATAGACCAATAATAAGTCATTTAAATGTACCTACAAGGAAAAATGTAAACATCCAATAAACACCCCCCCTATATAGACATGGCAGTCGATTTTTATTCACATGATGAGTGAAGAAGGGCCAAAAAGCATTCCAGGCCATCAGCAAACAGTATGTACACTCACCGGCCATTTTTTAGGTACACCTGTTCAATTGCTTGGTAACACAAATTGCTAATCAGCCAATCACATGGCAGCAACTCAATGCATTTAGGCATCTAGATGTGGTGAAAATGACTTGCTGAAGTTCAAACTGAGCATCAGAATGTAGAAGAAAGGGGATTTAAGTGACTTTGAACGTGGCATGGTTGTTGGTGCCAGAAAGGCCGGTCTGAGTATATCCAAAACTGCTGATCTGCTGGGATTTTCATGCACAACCATCTCTAGGGTTTACAGAGAATGGTCCAAAAAAGAGAAAATATCCAGTAAGCAGCAGTTATGTAGACGAAAATGTCTTGCTGATGTCAGAGGTCAGAGGAGAATGGGCAGACTGGTTCCAGATGATAGAAAAGCAACAGTAACTCAAATATCCACTCATTATCACCAAGGTATGCAGAATACCATCTCTGAATGCACAACACAATGAGCCTTGAAGCAGATGGGCTACAGCAGCACAAGACTACACCAGGTGCCACCCCTGTCAGCTAAGAACAGGAACGGAGGCTACAATTCACACAGGCTCACCAAAATTGGACAATAGAAGATTGGAAAAACGTTGTCTGGTCTGATGAGTCTTGATTTCAGCTGTGACAATCAGATGGTAGGGTCAAAATTTGGGGTAAACAACATGAAAGCATGGATCCTTCCTTACTTGTATCAACACTTCAGGCTGGTGGTGGTGGTGTCATGGTGTGGTGGATCCTTCCTACCTTGTATCAACACTTCAGGCTGGTGGTGGTGGTGTCATGGTGTGTGGTGGATCCTTCCTTCCTTGTATCAACACTTCAGGCTGGTGATGGTGGTGTCATGGTGTGGTGGATCCTTCCTACCTTGTATCAACACTTCAGGCTGGTGGTGGTGGTGTCATGGTGTGGTGGATCCTTCCTACCTTGTATCAACACTTCAGGCTGGTGGTGGTGGTGTCATGGTGTGGGGGAGATTTTCTTGGCACACTTTGGGCCCCAATTGATTATCACTTAAACGCCACAGCTTACCTGAGTATTGGTTCTGACCATGCCCATCCCTTTATGACTCCAGTGTCCCCATCTTCTGATGGCTCCTTCCAGCAGGATAATGCACTATGTCACAAAACTCAGATCTCCAACTGGTTCCTTAAACATGACAATGAGGTCACTGTACTCCAATGGCCTCCACAGTCACCAGATCTCAAAGTGCACCTTTGGGATGTGGTGGAACGGGAGATTCCCATCATGGATGTGCAGCTGACACGCAGACTCTGCATTCACTATATCTGGTCTCCCCGGACCCTGCATTCACTATATCTGGTCTCCCCGGACTCTGCATTCACTATATCTGGTCTCCCCGGATGAGTGAGTTACAGTTCTCTCTCCTGGGCCTTGCATGGTCCCTTTTAACCGTCCACCTGTAATGTTAGAAAACAAATGAGGTTCTACAAGACAGGTGACATCCAGTGAATGCAGGGTCCTGGGAGACCAGATATAGTGAATGCAGGGTCCAGGGAGAGCGGATATAGTGAATGCGGGGTCCTGGGAGAGCAGATATAGTGAATGCGGGGTCCTGGGAGAGCAGATATAGTGAATGCGGGGTCCTGGGAGAGCAGATATAGTGAATGCGGGGTCCGGGGAGAGCGGATATAGTGAATGCGGGGTCCTGGGAGAGCAGATATAGTGAATGCGGGGTCCGGGGAGAGCGGATATAGTGAATGCAGGGTCCTGGGAGAGCAGATATAGTGAATGCGGGGTCCTGGGAGAGCAGATATAGTGAATGCGGGGTCCTGGGAGAGCAGATATAGTGAATGCGGGGGTCCGGGGAGACCAGATATAGTGAATGCGGGGTCCTGGGAGACCAGATATAGTGAATGCGGGGTCCTGGGAGACCAGATATAGTGAATGCGGGGTCCTGGGAGACCAGATATAATGAATGCGGGGTACTGGGAGAGCAGATATAGTGAATGCAGGGTACTGGGAGAGCAGATATAGTGAATACAGGGTCCGGGGAGACCAGATATAGTGAATGCAGGGTGCGGGGAGACCAGATATAGTGAATTTAGCACAGTGGCTAAATGGTTAGCACTTCCACCTGGCAGTACTAGGGTCACTGGTTTGAATCCCAACCACGGTACCACCTGCCTGGAGTTTGCATGTTCTCCCTGTACCTGTGTGGGTTCCCTCTAGGTACTCTGGTTTCCTCCCACACTCCAAAGACATGTTGGTAGGTGAATTAGCTCCTGTCTAAATTGTCCCTAGTATGTGTATGTATGAATGTGAGTTAGGAACCTTAGATTGTACGCCCCTTGAGGGTTAGGGACTGATGTGAATGTACAATATATATATATATATACAGTTGCAAGAAAAAGTATGTGAACCCCTTGTGATTACGTGGAGTTTTGCATGAATTGGGCATAAAATGTGCTCTGAACGTCATCTAAGCCACAACAATAGAAGAACACAGTCTGCTGAACATAATACTACACAAACATTAGATGTTGCCATGGTTTAATTGCACATAACATGTAAACATTCACAGTGCAGGGAGGAAAAAGTATGTGAACCTTTGGACTTAATAACTGGTTGACCCTCCTTTGGCAGCAATAACCTCAACCAAACGTTTCCTGTAGTTGCAGATCAGACCTGCGCAACGATCTGGAGTAATTTTGGACCACTCCTCTTCACAAAACTGTTTCAGTGTAGCAATATTCTTGGGATGTCTGGTGTGAATCGCTCTCTTAAGGTCATGCCACAGCATTTCAATCGGGTTGAGGTCAGGACTCTGACTGGGCCACTCCAGAAGGCGTATTCTGTGCTGTTGCAGCCATTGTTTTGTTGAATTACTTGTATGCTTTGGGTCATTGTCCTGTTGCATCACCCATCCTCTGCGGAGCTTCAGTTGGCGGACAGATGGTCGTACGTTTTCCTGCAAAATGTCTTGATAAACTCTGGAATTCATTTTCCCATCAATGACAACAATCCGTCCAGGACCTGAGGCAGCAAAGCAGCCCCAAACCATGATGCTCCCTCCGCCACGTTTTACAGTGGGGATGAGGTTTTGATGTTGGTGTGCTGTGCCTTTTTTTCTCCACACAGTGTTGTGTGTTCTTCCCAAACAACTCAATCTTGGTTTCATCTGTCCACAGTATATTTTGCCAGTAGTGCTGTGGAACATCCAGGTGCTCTTTTGCAAACTTCAAACGTGCTGCAATATTCTTTTTGGACAGCAATGGCTTCCTCCGTGGTGTCCTCCCATGTACTACATTCTTGTTTAATGTTTTCCTTATTGTAGATGTGTCAACAAAAATTTTAGCATGTGCCAGAGATTTCTGTAGGTCTTTAGCTGACACTCTGGGATTCTTCTTTACTTCATGCAGCATTCTGCGCTGTGCTCTTGCAGTCATTTTTACAGGACGACCATGCCTAGGGAGAGTAACAACAGTGCTAAACTTTCTCCATTTGTAGACAGTCTGTCTTACCGTGGACACATGAACATCAAGGCTTTTGCAGATACTTTTGTAACCCTTTCCAGCTTCATGCAAGTCAACAATTCTTGATCGTAGGTCTTCTGAGAGCTCTTTTCTGCGAGGCATGGTTCACTTTAGACAGTGTTTCTTGAAACCAGCAAACCCAAAACAGGTGTGTGTTTTTTTTAAGGGCAGGACAGCTGTCAGCAACACATCCAATATCATCACACTGATTGGAGTCCAGGTTGGCTCACTCCTGGCTCCAATTAGCTCTGGGAGAAGTCATTAAGCTAGGGCCTCACATACTTTTTCCTCCCTGCACTGTGAATGTTTACATGTTATGTGCAATTAAACCATGGCAACATCTAATGTTTGTGTAGTATTATGTTCAGCAGACTGTGTTCTTCTATTGTTGTGACTTAGATGACGTTCAGAGCACATTTTATGTCCAATTCATGCAAAACTCCACGTAATCCCAAGGGGTTCACATACTTTTTCTTGCAACTGTATACTGCTATATAAGTACCTGAAATAAAATAATAAATAAGATGGAAAAACTCTACTGTGCACAATACCCAAAGGAGGTCATACAACAGTAGCTTTTTGTTTTATAATTGTTGTTTTTATATTTATTATTTTTTATTCTATTTTACAAGAGATCCACAGTGTATGTGATGAAGAAGGCCATGCAACGGCAGCCTTTCTTGCTAAATGTATTATTTTTATTATTAGTTTTTCTCCTTTTTCTATTTTACAAGAGATCCATAGCACATGCGACGAAGACGTTATACCATGAATTCAACAAAACTCAATGGTCATACTTAGAATTAGAATGAGTAATGGGTAGGTCCCTCTGTAGGGACCTTTACTCTAGTATATGATACTGGGCTCTTGCACCTGCATGCCCAAAATACATGGGTCACCCTGTTCTAGACCTCTGTCAGCGAATTGGTTAACAATCAGTAAGCGGTAACGGCTTCCAAGCAGCGGTTCTGCACACAGGAATAGCTCTTCAGCAAAGAATGTCCCCACTGACAGCTCGAAAGGTCAGGATTATTTTAAAAGGCAACGGCTTCCCTTGTTTAATTTTCAGGGTCCGCACATTTAAATCAGCACATGCAAAGCCTTAGGGACGTATTCTACAGATTCCGCTTCTGTTCCAAACAAAGCCCAAGTGTCTTCACTTATATGTTATATGTACCAGGCCATGCACAATGTATGTTTGAGATAGTCGTGAGTGGAGAATGAAATTGGCATTTAGGCAATAAAGCGTTTCTTTCTTTACAATGCCTAACACAAGCAAAATTTGTGACATTTCTATTTAATCACTGTTCATTTAAACTCTGGAAAAATCTTAAATTATTCCTTGCATGGGGCTGTGTCCTCACTGCAAGGGTTAATTGATTGTTTAGTCTAGGGCAGTGGTCTCCAAACTGTGGCCCATGGGCTAGATGCTGCCCTTTGTTTGCCTTGATCCGGCTCTTGGGGCATTGTTACTCTCGCTGGTACAAGGCACTATTACCACTGACACCAATGATGAGGTGCCATGACTTCCAAAGAAACTAACAGTGGGGTATAATACCTCCCACTGACACCAAGAGGGAACACTATTCATCCCACTGATGGCAACAATGGGGTACTATTGCTCCCACTGACACCAATGATGAGGCACTATTCCTCCCACTCATACCAATGATGGGGCACTACTCCTCCCACTAATACCAATGATGGGGCACCATTTCCCCCACTGATACCAATGACGGGGCACTATTCCTCCCACTGATACCAATGATGGGAGACCATTTCCCCCACTGACACCAATGACGGGGCACTATTCCTCCCACTGATACCAATGTTGGGGCACTATTCCTCCCACTGACACCAATGATGGGGCACTATTCCTCCCAATGATGGGGCACTATTCCTCCCAATGATGGGGCACTATTCCTTCCTTGACACCAACAAACGGCACTATTTCTTCCACTAATACCAATGATGGGGCACTATTCCTCCCACTGACACCAATGATGGGGCACTATTCTTCCCACTGACACCAATGATGGGGCACTATTCCTTCCCTGACACTAACAATGGGGCACTATTTCTTCCACTAATACCAATGATGGGGCACTATTCCTTCCCTGACACCAACAATGGGGCACTATTTCTTCCACTAATACCAATGATGGGGCACTATTCCTCCCACTGACACCAATAATGGGGCAGTATTCCTCCCCCTGACACCAATGATGGGGCACTATTCTTCCCACTGACACCGATGATGGGGCACTATTCCTTCCCTGACACCAATGATGGGGCACTATTCCTTCTCTGACACTAACAATGGGGCACTATTTCTTCCACTAATACCACTGATGGGGCACTATTACTCCCACCAATACTAACAATACTAATGATGGGGCACTACTCCTAATACTGACCACAGATGCTATGTAATTTTTTATTGCTACTGACCACCAAGCCTGAGACATAGTCCGCTCCCACTAATGCCAGTTTTTTTACTCCCCCCCTAAGGTCTGATGGACAGTAAATAGGCCCTTTGTCTAGAAAGATTAGAGTCGCCTGCAGTGGTGTATTTAGATTTTGTGCTGCCCTATGCAACACAAAACTGTTGCACCCCCCCCCCCCCCCCCCCCCAATGAGAGAGAGAGAGTCAACAAGTGTGTGTCTGTATATATGATACTGTCTCTTTCCCTTTCTTTCTCTTCTCTCTCTTCCTCTCTCTATTCCTTCCCTCTTTCTCTCTCTTCCCTTCCCTCCCTCTCTCCACCCTCTCTCTCCCCCTCTCTTTCCCTATCTCTCTCTCTCTCTCTCTCTCTCTCTCTCTCTCTCTCTCTCTCTCTTCCTTCTTCTCTCTTTCTCTCCCCCCCCCTCTTTCCCTCCCTCTCTCCCCTCTCTCTCTCCCCCCTCTCTCCCCTCTCTCTCTC